TCTAGTAATTTTTTGGAATTTATTTGAATTTTTTGTTGATTATTTTTAATTACGGGACCTACAAGTTCGTGTTGGCTCGACAGGTCAAGTGGGTCAGTCGGATCTTAATCGTTATCTCAATAGTCAAGTTGAACCAATGGTCAACTTTGAAAAACTGAACCGTTGTGGGTTCCGAGCGAGACCGAATCGAACTTGAACTCAGACCTGGACCAGAATCTCTAGTCTATTAACAGGCCACGGGCCGGCCAGACTCGGAGCCAGCCGGACCCGACTCACCGAGTTAAAAATTGTGTATACCTGCAGTCCGTAATTGACCCGGTCAAACTACAAACTCAGTTTTGAGCCGGTTCCGGTCGAATTAGCGGGCCGGGCCGTCGTCTCGTCTAATTGCGATCATGGAGGAGGTGAAAAGCAGTCTAGAAGAGCTCCGGGGAGCACCATTGCTCAGTGTTAGCTTACTTGCTGCGTTTTAGATCAGAGTTTCCTATAAAACACATACCTGCTCCCTTTAGAGGAAATTTGATCCAACGATCACTCAACCTTNGTGAATTTTGATTGTTATTCGAACTTCTGGCAATAGCACTGCCGTGAAATCCGAAGCCATGAGCTGCATCTACAAAGACCCGTATGCTCCGATCGAAGCCCGAGTTAGAGACCTTCTCTCCCGGATGACCCTTCAAGAGAAAGTCGGCCAAATGACCCAGATCGAGCGGAGCGTCGCCACCCCTTCAGCCATTAAAGACCTATACATAGGTCAGCTTGACATATATGTACATATGTACAGTACCAATTTTCCTGTTTGTTGTTGCTCCTCAAAACTTTTCATGTGCTGATTTAGAATTTATTTATCATTTTTGTTGGCACCTCGTGTAGGATTTCTGTCGTGTATTCAAATATTGCCGTATGTTTCATCATCGTTTTCTGAAAATATGATTTCATTGATTGTTTCTGCTACTTTTTATGCTCTGGAATTGGAGATTTCCGGATATTGGACATAAAGTTGATTTGGGTTCAATCTCCTTGGCAACGCTAACTGTTCGAATTCTATTTTCGTTCTGTTTTTGGACTGAAGGTAGCATACTAAGTGTTGGTGGTAGTGGGCCATTTGAGAATGCGCAATCGTCTGATTGGGCAGCCATGGTGGATGATTTCCAGAAGGCCGCACTTGAGTCTAGGCTCGGAATTCCTTTGCTGTATGGCATTGATGCAGTTCATGGTAATAATAACGTCTATGGTGCTACCATTTTTCCTCACAACATAGGCCTTGGAGCGACTAGGTAAATTCTCGCTGAATTGTATAGTGAAATGATGTCATTCAATTGTTTCCTTGGATGCTAACCACCATATGAGTCGTACGACTAATGCACATGTACTGTTGTAGAGATGCCGACTTGATCCGGAGGATTGGAGCTGCCACAGCTCTCGAAGTTAGGGCAAGTGGGATTCACTATACTTTTTCTCCTTGTGTAGCTGTAAGTTTCATCAAGCTCTTTCTTCTTTCAATAATATGTTGTTGGACTCTGAGTTATATCCAAGAGACTGAATAACACAAAAATAAACTGTCATTGTGGTAAATTGCCAAAACCTTGAATTCTTAATATATGTAATGTCACACTTATAAATGCACAATATGGGTTTGTATGTGATAGATACATACCTAATATGAAAATGAGTAGATTCCTTTGTGTGTACACAGTAAAACATAAATGGTTCATTATTTATAATGAAATAGGTTTTAATTGGATTTAGAATATGTGAAGTCACCTCAAGTTGAATGCAGAAGTTTGCATGTTCTGTTTGAACAGTTGAATCTGGAGTTGGTACTTCTCCAGGAGATATCAGAAAATAATACACTGGAGACTGATTTGTAAACCTTCATCTGTTTTCGAGATTACGGATAGTTGTATCAGATGAGTGCAGTAAATAGTGAATTAGGATCTATGCAACAAAACTTATTTGCAATAGTGAATTCTTCAGTCATATTAACTTGCACCACTGGGAGCTGGATAAATATGGAACCCCAGACCGATAACAAAAAAAAAAAAAAAATATATGGAACCCCAGAAAAGTTGGCTAGGGTTATGCTAACAGAGAGACTAGAGAATATAAAACATCAAATTTTTCTCCTTAGATCATGACTTAACTATAATTACAAGGGTAAGGTCTGCGTACAACTGACCCCCCAGACCCCAACCTGTTGGGAATATACTGGGTATGTTGTTGTTGTTGTTGTAGATCATGACTTAACTATTATATATTTTTTCATTTTATTGGTAAATTATTTATTTCTCAGAATAGAATTATCTTTGTAAAGAAAATGCTTCCTAGCTTCAGGCATTGGGTAATTATTGATGCCCGCTTCACGTCATGATATTTGATATAGAAATTCTCTATTCAGATATAGTGTTCCTATTGGATTTCTTGCTTTTGTTTATCTCGTTCAATATTTATCTCTTACGCATTGGCCCTGCTAATAAGATGGTGGCAACAGGTGTGTAGGGATCCCAGATGGGGAAGATGCTATGAGAGTTTTGGTGAAGACCCTCAAATTGTTAAAATGATGACTTCAATGGTCATTGGCTTGCAGGGAAAACCATCCCAAGGACACCCTTATGGCTATCCATTTGTCGCTGGAAGGTACAGATTGCTTGCAATAAAAATTAATGCAACTTTGAACAACACAATTACATTAGATAGTTTGCCTGGTTTCAACCTTCCTTTATATAATTATATTTCTAATTATACATCTCAGAGAAAATTATATTTGACCATTATAACTCTTTTTTCCAATTTCGTGGATGGTTCTTCAGTCTTTCCCTTTTTCTGGGCATGTGTTTTCAATGATGGTTTACCTTCTGCCCCTTCCATGCATTAATATGTTTCTTTCTCACATTGTTCGACTGATGAGATATTTAATTCCAGAGAAAATGTCGTTGCATGTGCAAAGCATTTTGTAGGAGATGGTGGCACCAAGAATGGTAAAAATGAGGGAGATACTATATCATCATATGATGACCTGGAGAAAATTCATATGGCTCCTTTTGTTGACTGCATTTCTCTGGGCGTATCTACTATCATGGCATCCTATTCTAGCTGGAACGGCACTAAGTTGCACGATTGCCGTTTTCTTCTTACTGACATCTTGAAAGAGAAGCTTGGATTTAAGTTGAGTTTATTTGGATCACCCCACAATATCTGCTGTTTTGCTGATACAGATGAAACTTGACTTCTAACTTGTGAAAATAACAATGTCACATAACAATAAGAGACAGATGCTGAAAGTTGCTGGATTTTTTTGCAGGGGTTTATCATATCTGACTCAGAAGGCCTTGACAGGCTTTCTAATCCTCATGGATCTAATTACCAGCATAGTGTTCTGTCAGCAGTCAGTTCAGGAATTGATATGGTAAGGATCTTTATTATTTTATTTATTTATTTTGCATGTATGCTTTTTTCAATCATTTGACGAACAATTAGCTTATTATTATCATCATATTTAGTTTTGCATGTATGCTTTTTTCAATCATTTGATGAACAATTAGCTTATATAAATCATAAAATACTTCACTTTCTTTTCTGGACCAGGTGATGGTGCCTTATCGATTTCAATTATTTATTGAAGATTTGACGCATTTGGTAGAGTCAGGAAAAATACCAGTCAGCAGAATAGATGATGCAGTTGAAAGAATCCTGAGAGTTAAATTTGCATCTGGCCTCTTTGAACATCCCTTGAGTGATGGATCTTTATTGGGTGTAGTTAGTTGTGAGGTGAACTCCTAGATATTAAATCACAAATGAATGCCTAGCTAACAAATTGACGCGTCTTGTTATATTGGAATCATAACAGCAACTTCCCTCAAATTTTCTAAATGCATGCAAAGTTTCTGATATGAATCCATCTCCCAGCACACCAAAATCCAATTACTTTTTGCATTTTATGAATATGACTCATCTTACATTTTCTTCGGTAGCTTTGAGGTATATTTATTGTACAACTAGGCTTCGGTAGTTTATCCGATAAAATGTCGTGCCATATCCTAACTTTCAGTAAACCTAACCATACACAATGCTAAATGTCTGTATTCTGATTTAACTGGTTCAAGACCATTGTATAGTTCTTTGAAGTCATGCTCTCCGTCAAGCTTAATATTCGAGTTGACATGAAGAAGACTCTTATTTGAAATTATTCTTTCAGATGCATAAGAAACTAGCACGCGAGGCAGTTCGCAAATCCTTGGTTTTATTAAAGAACGGGAAGCATCCGGGGAAACCATTTCTTCCTCTGGACCGAAATGCAAAGAGAATTCTTGTCGTTGGAAGGCATGCAGATGACCTGGGATATCAATGTGGTGGGTGGACAGCGACGTGGGAGGGGAAAAGTGGCAGAATAACAACAGGTAAGTATCACCTCTGGAAATTTAAGCTAATTTCTGATATAACTATTTATTTGTATTACAACTTACACAAAATGGGAAAGAGAATATAATAGTGAAGAGAAGAAAAGGATATCGAAAGGATCAAAGAACTATAATATCCATGGCAAGGTTTTAAAACAGGCCAAACCATAGAAGAGTACCTGACTTTCCTTTTTAACACTTGTGTGATGTGCTTTGTTTGTAGCATTATATCCTTTTATTTTCTGATTTCTTCTGAGTTTTGATCATACGAGTTTTCATCTATTAATCATGACAATGGACGGCTTTTTGCTTGTTTACTATTACGTTGAATAAGGTATTCAATTTTTTCAATCAATGAATAAGGTATTTTAATCATAACAGGTAAAACTTTGCATTCCGTGGTTACTATTGCCGAAGAAGGATTTTATTTACATTTTGACACTGTCTAATCTTCTATACATCTACCAGGCACTACAATTTTGGACGCTATTAAAGAAGTTGCCGGGGACAAAGCAGAATTAACATATGAACAAAATCCATCCGCGACTGAAACTTTCAGTGGAAAAGACTATTCTTTTGCCATTGTAGTTGTTGGTGAAGGTCCATACGTGGAATCTGGTGGAGACAGCACAGATCTCAAGATTCATTTTAATGGAGCGGAACTTCTAAGTATGGTAGCAGATGAAGTCCCCACATTAGCAATCTTGATATCTGGTCGGCCTTTGGCTTTAGACCCAGTGCTGTTGGACAAAGTTGATGCCTTAGTTGCAGCATGGCTGCCCGGCAGTGAAGGGGCTGGGATTGTGGACGTTATATTTGGAGATCATGAGTTCCAAGGAAGGCTTCCAATGACTTGGTTGAAAAATGTCGATCAACTACCAATGCATGCTGAAAACAGTCCATATGATCCTCTATTCCCGATTGGTTTTGGTTTGACGAGCAAGAACGAGATTCTCAAGGGTTAACCGGCCGGCTATTCACCCTTCATTCCAGGTTCGAAAATTTGAGCTTGTTCATTAAAATGTATGTAATATGGCATGTAACAACCTCTAATTGCGTGATGTACGGCCAAAATTTTTTAACAGTTAACCTTCGTATAGTTTAACCAAGTAGTGTAATTTGTTTGTCTGCGTGTGAAGTTATAAGTGCATTTAGAATTAGCCTATTGTTAGGGTCGAACGAATGAGTCATTAGGCGAGAGTTTTGAAACAAGATGTGAAAGGCCTTGTAATTAGTATTCAGAGGCATATCCTGTTTTTTAATACTTTCCAAAACTGTTCACTAAAATGTAGTAGAGGTTCCCAGGTTCTCCAAGGATTATTTGAGTGCACGTGCCTGCTAATTCGATTATCTATGTATATCTACATACAATATTCATACCTACTGGTGTGGACAATCTGAGCCGTTAGATTAAATGTACACCCACACGGGAGTGTGTGTATGTTATATATATGATTTTTCATTCATTATCTTCAAAGTTTACTTCAACTTCTGAAATATGTTGAGCATTTTGCATTTGTTTTCAGACATGTGTTTTACCACTATTCCTGTTTGATTTTAGACGTGGAGACATCAAGCATTTTGTGAACCCTATCCTTGAAATATACTTCCTTGCCCCAACCACAGCCATGCATATGTGTACATATGAATGTCAAGATCACATGAGAATAAGCAGTGGTGAAATCAAATAAGAATATGTTTGGGTCAATGGGATTTGACAAATCAACTTCTTAGATAGTTTGCTACGTCACTATGTATGTTGACGTCCAGCACTATTGCGCATTAATGTTGTTGCAGATGTTTCTTGTATGTGTTTTCAGAGAAAAA